TGTTGTCGCTTTCGTAATCAAGTTTTCTCCACTGATCCCCAGTTTTTTCGTGTCTAGAACCATTTTTGTAATAAACCAATGAATGCTGACCTCCACGTGATCCGTTCATTTCACCGCCACAATAGTCCAAAGCCCGGTGGAAGTCGCTTCCAGATTAGTTTATGATCCACTTGAAGGCAGTCGTAAAGATGGGTTATGATCTGTGGGTGCCCAGACTGCTTTGGACATATAGTCGTACCATGGTTGATACACGCATCACTCAGGTTTGACCTTATTAGCGCCTTGTTGTGTGGTCTTGCACTTTTGGCTTGTGTAGTAAAAGAAGAGCCTACCGTCACCCCTTGTCCTTGGTAGTTTAATGACTGCATGGAAGTGAGTATTTTATTGGGTTGAACACAGGCATTCCAGACCACGATCGTACCGCGTTCGAAAGATTTCATCATTGAAATGTCCTTTTTGATACAGTACATACCTCGGCCTGACCCTATGGGAGCTCAAAGTTGGAGGTAAAATCAACCAACCTTCGGTCACCGGAGCATTGTTAAGTTTTGTGTGCGAATGTTCCGTTTGATGGAAGCCACTACTCTCGAAGAAACCCAAACTTGGTGCTCAGACAAATCATCTCCTACATTAGCATAATATTTTTCTGAAGATTTCTCAATAACTAAATAAACGGAAGCGATGACATTTTCGTAAAGGGAACTACTCACAAGGTTTCTGAAAACTCATCGGGAGCCCACGATCGGTTCCGCCATTCTCGGGGTCCATCGGATAGGCGCAGTCTCCAAGTTTCCGTCAACCTTAGGTTTGGACAGATTTCAACAAATACCATCAGTTAGATGTCACTGGTTTTCACGGAAGACTTAACTGATCTATGGCTTACGATATTCTTCAACCTAAATTGCTGCTCATAAACGGGGGATTCACTCGAGTCTCCTGTGAAAACATTGATATACAACCGAGTGTAGTTGTTGAAATCTGTCCTATGTGGATTCACTTAGAACATAAGGTTGACGAGAACTTCGGGCTGAGCCTACTTGACCAGCTCCAACTGGGGTGCTTCGTTAGTGAACTGTCAAAATTCTTCCGACAACTTTATGAGTAGCGTGCCCCATCAAATTGGTCATGCAAATTCTACATTTATGCCGTCGAGCTATATGAATCACTCTCTACTCTCAGTGTTTCTACACGTCAGCTGTCCAAAGGTTTTCATTCAAGGATAACACACTCTGGTATTATATTGGCAAGGTCATTTCTACATTCAAACACCAATGTGATATATAGTTCTCCGAAACCATGGAGATCATGCGTTTTCGCAAATGAGATAGTAGATGTCAACTTGTCCAGCTATGGTTTACGCATACAGTCGTTATCAGAGCGAAACACTCCAGTTTAAACTATACCAAATCATCAACCGCATCAACCATCGATAATCTCGACACACAGAAAAAGCTAACTTCTTTACTTGTAGTGTCCAAGTTCCCCTAAAAAATCGTAACGGTTTCTTTGATACGCAGGTTTTGTTCTCGTACATCATCAATATAAGATATAAGAACCGCTTACTTGTCGTACAGTGGTTGTAGCTGTCAGTTTTGTTCACCGATGATTTGGTGAAGTGCTGTAGGTAGCTGCGTACTGATAAACTGGTGCGTAAATACAGCGCTGTCAGTAGACTGTTAAGTGGAGGAATTGGGAAGGAATTTACGCATCCAAGGCAATACCTTGGATGGACGAGTGCTGTTGAGATGGCCCCTCTCGGTGTCCGCATCCAGGAAGGCGGCAATGACCGGCGCAGCTGAGTCTGCTGGTAATCACTTTTACACTTCGCTGCCAAGTAATTGTTTGACCTCCTCTGGCTCGTTTGAACCCTTCACGTGGTTGTTCGAAAAGAACCCTTTGACAGAGTCGGTCGAAGCGGTCAAGCCAGCACAAACTATGCAATGTGATCAGTTCATCTATCGTGGGCGAGTTAGTTCTTCCGAATGCCATTCGACGTAGTTAACCATTGCTGATCCAGTGTTTCCACCAGACTCGGCCAATAGTCCGAAGATATCGATGGTAAAACACTGAAAGTCTTTTGGCGTCCTCGGCGCGCAGCGGCCAGCTTTCTGACCTGTATGGTAATATGGAGCGCACCGCAGCATTATAAACTCCTACAGCAACACGTTTTTGTCTACTTATCAATGCAAAGCGCTCAATGATGGTTCTGTTCCCATAGTAAGGCTTATCAGCTGATGTCTCCTCTCTCGATACACTGTTGTAGTACATTCATTGCGTTTGGGACTCACTTATCGAGCTAAGTCAAGGTTCAGCGACTCACAGAAAGAGTGGTTCTTGATAGTGTAAAGAGATATGAGAAGTTTCAACTGAGATTTCTTCCTGTAGATCAAGCCAGCCTTAGCTGATAACCCGACAGTCACTGTGCAGCTCATTTACCGACATTAAGAATCATCAACAGTGCGCGTTTCACAAAATTTAACGGACTCCCAAACATGTGAACTCTCGGCTAGTATTTTGATCACTTAACTTTTTGCTCATGCACAGTTAACAAGCAAACGTGGTTAGCTTGCACTTAGACAGGAGTTACGGCTACTTATCCTTTATTCACGGGATCCACATTACTTGGTCACAAGTGTTGGCTGTCTCCTCGGCTGACTTCGCAGATAGAAGGTTCATTGGTCGGGTGAATTTTCCCCCTCCTGTGCGCTGTAATAGGATGACGGCGGTGTGAGATTTAGGAATTTTCAATGGAGGTTCTTTGGTGTAAGTGAAGCCGAAGAAGACTGTACAGTGCTTCACGTGCCCACTTGGTGAGATTTCCATGATTGCAATTTGCCTAGCACCACATCCCAATTGCGGGTTGATGACAGTGCGGATCGGTTTCTTGTGTTCGAACGGCTGTGTTCAAACTACTAGACGGGAGTTGCCGCGATCAACCCCACCCCTAGATGCGCACTGCTGATGAGTGAAGCAGGTGTACAACGCTTCTCGGTCTTCCAGCTTCGTTCCAACCGCTTAGCTCAAATTTCACAGAAAAAAAACACTGGGTTGAACGAATCGATCACTTTCGGCTGTCAGTCGGACGAACGCTGAAGTGTTCTGTTATAAATCATCCTCGTTCACACACCATATGCAAGGCGGAAAAAGTTAACCAGATCAGTGTGTGCACAGCACACCACCCCGCCATAACAATTCTAAATGTTAACTTGCCCAGAGACCCCGTCTATATTCAGAAAAGTCTCACTGTCCGGCAATGAGCAATAATAGTCATGATATTATCAACCATCACTTCAGCCAGAGATGTGGTATTAGTTAGCATCGTGTTCACACATCCAGTGATAAACGAGAGGTTTAAATTTACGTCAATCTCCGTCAACGACCAATTAAGATGCGAATGAATGCTTATCGCAACGTACGAGAAAACCGTTGTTCAAATAGAAAGAAAAGAAAAAGAAGATCAACGGAAATTCGTGAACTACTCTTTCACGCGGGACGAGCCCCATGAATGGTAAAACTAGTACCGGCTATTTAAGCCTTCCAAAGACTAAATAAGTAGTACTGATACACTACTGACCGCTTGTCGACTTTTTGGAACAACATGATCTGGCTTGACGCCTGAATCGGAATAATCGAAATGATGTATCAGTCATCTTATACAATCCCGAAGTGGGTTCTGTTTTGCTGAAACCTAACTTGGGAATGACAGCCCATTCAGAAGTTATAAACAGGTAGCTGATGTTTCTCGAATCAGAACACCGACACACCTGATTCAAACCGGCTAGCTGATACGAACTCACGGCCTCTTGTATGTCAGACGTGTACTTTGCCAGTTAAGCTACTGTCAAAGTTGTCTCATATCACTCCATATAGACCAGTTACGCGTATTCCTGTTTTTATTCTATGTATATAAGTTCCTATTCCCAAATGTTCGAATCCCGGTGTCTTCACACCGATACAGTCTGGCTACCTGGAAGATGTTGTCTTGCGGGTCATTATGGGGGTCAAAAAACGAATTCACTGTTTAGACTGACAATCTTCGGTCTTGAGTAAACCAAAATGACTTCGAAGTGGTAATCAACTACACTTGTGTTAGCTCGACTTTTGTAGCAATTATCAAGCACTTTCTGGGTCCTTGGTTGGACTAATGACCGGAGCGTCTGCCCTTTCGTTTGCATCATGCGTATATGGTTCTGTATTTCATAAGGCGAATTCCCATTTTGTCATTGTTTTAAGCTTTGTCATTTCCCGTAAGCAACGGTCCGACGAATCGTCACAATCGACCCTGCGGTCACCGTCAGTTAAACTGACTACGTTTAGTGCTCCCCGAAAATATGGACGCGGCTAATCTCAATGGAACAGTTAGATCACCCGAAAATCTCCTAAGAAAACGTCGCGGGCTAATTTGGGACTGTAAACGTGACACTCATCAAAATCATAGTTGAAGAAGTTAGCTTGTGTAATACCCACATTGTATCAGATAGTCTGTTCAACGGTGACTGAAGCCAGGCTCCAGCCCTTCGGGACACTCTGCTATCAAAAAACAGATTGGGTTTACAGTAATCCCAGTTGAGTAAGACTCCAATCTGCTTTCATCACGGTGAGTGCATGTCATAGCTACTGATTTTGGCGGTAAAGCAGCCCAGAGGACTAGCATATATTCAGCTTAATCACTCGTGTGAAGTTATACATTTTGTCCACATGCTGAATCCCCAAAACTATCGGTTGTATCTCGATTTACCTCGGTGAAAACCAAGTAACAAGCACATTTCTCCTGCCGCCGAGTGTTTTACTGTTGTTCAAATACTGTCTGGTATAAGAGAAGAAGCGAGAAATCTTTGTAAACTGAAATGAAGTTATATGGACTGTAACGGTCCGATCGGGTTTACAAAGCAAAAGAATGAGTTGAAGTTTTTCAGAAGAGTTGCAAGTATTTTTTCGAAAAAAAACATTGGCTGCCTTCAGTCGCAGTGCATTGTTTGTTCAGTTATAAACCGGCATTGTTATACTTCACACGCAATCTCTTTATAGTCCTTCTCCAACGCTCCAAGATCTACTCGAGCCTCACGGAATTCACCTTCCTCCATACCTTCCCCGACATACCAGTGGACAAACGCGCGCTTAGCAAACATCAAATCGAACTTGCGATCTAAACGAGCCCAGGCCTCTGCAATCGCTGTGGTATTGCTAAGCATACAGACAGCTCGCTGGACTTTGGCCAGGTCACCACCAGGAACCGCTGTTGGAGGCTGGTTGGTGATTCCAACTTTGAAGCCGGTTGGACACCAATCGACGAACTGTATGCATCTTTTTGTCTTGATGGTTGCAATAGCTGCATTGACGTCTTTAGGCACCACATCACCACGATATAGCAAACAACAGGCCATATACTTCCCTTTCCGAGGATCACACTTGACCATCTGATTGATTGGCTCAAAGCATGCACTAGTCAGCTGAGCTACAGTCATCTGTTCGTGTCTGGCCTTTTGTGCTGATATCACTGGAGCATAGCTGACCATAGGAAAATGGATACGAGGATAAGGGACCAGATTGGTTTGGAATTCGATCAGGTCGACGTTTAGCGATCCGGAAAATCGCAGAGATGCTGTCGTGGAACTGACCACCTGGCATATCAAACGGTTCAGGTTTGTATATGTGGGCCTCTCAACGTTCAGATTATGGCTGAAAGAAAACCAGAAAATGCGCAATTATGCAAACTTTACGCTACAACCAAGTTACAGTGCTCAAAGTTTCGCTAAATTTCACGATTGCTTAACATCCTTTGTGACCACTGTTTTACTCTGATCGATGAATCAGGTCAGCAACAGGCGGTTTCACATAGGAATGTCATCCTGACCTACAAAATGCTCGAAAAATGTCACCGACCGATTGTCTTGACAGCCCCCCGTTGGAATTAAGAGTGTGTTCAGCTGTGTCCGCAATTAAACGACGTGAATGGGAATCGAACCAAGGTACAATCAATCAACTCACTACAAAAGAAGCGGGCAGATGACAGCGTCACATAGAATGGTTGACTGAGCAAAGGACAAGTGCATCGGGAGCAGTGGCGAGCACGTGATTCACACACACTGCAAAAATAAGGCTAGCGCAAACAAGTCACGTGCACGCACGTGAAACGCCAGTAGCAAGACTACGATCAAGACATGGCAATAAGACTGTCCATCGGTCAAATGCAACTGCTGGTGAGTTGGGGCCGGTACTCAGTATTCGCGGAATGGAATTAAATTTTCTAAGGCTACGACGGGTCCCTGATGGACTGAAAGAGACAGGCAATTGTGTTCAGAGTACGATTCCAAACTTTCGAGCCCTATTTAGGCACCCCGGGGTCTCAGCAATGCCAGAAAAGTAGTCCACCAGACGTTTTCCGTCAGGTGTATGACTGCTTCAGTGGACAATAAAATTTGGTGAGCATCGAAAATATGATGGTGTATTAGGGTGGTTTTTGCTGTGAGTACATACGCAACAAAACGCAACATTTTGACTCAGGTGTATGACTGCTTCACTGGACAATAAAATTTGGTGACCATCGAAAATATGATAGTGTATTAGGGTGGTTTTTGCTGTGAATACATACGCAACAAAACGCAACATTTTGACGTAAAAATTCTATTCCATTCGCAAAGGTTTTGCTACTAAAAGCATTGTGTGGCCAATGGCCCCGTTGGGACCAGTAACGAAAAGACACGCTTTGAAAATTCAGACGAAGCGTCGATGAACTGGAAGGTGGACGAACAACGCGTTTCTACTGTCAAGTTTTTTAGGCTACGCATAAGACACTAAAAATTCGGAAGGACTATTTGGAAAACCTTCCAGCGTGTGATTCCGAACAATCTGCGCTACAAGCTCATACAAAAACACTGCATTTAAAGCGATATATGCGGTTCAAAGTGTAAATTACAACTGGAAACCACACACTGTAAAACAGATTCACTTTGGCAGATGCAGACGCAGCGTCCGGCTCAGGTCGTTTCATAAATATAGGCCTGGCCTATACCGCTACTTAAGTAATGTTTAATGCCTTTGAAATGTTGCCATCGCTCACAAACTATTTCGTTCAATCACTCGTCAGAGTTGTTTGTCCGATGCTTACTCCAAAGGCCATGTAGGCATACGCGACTCATCCACCCGCCAGTCGTGACGAGATAAAAAATATCGACTCAAATAGGGTGCTAGTTTGCTTGTATCCGCAGCATCGCTTGCGGAGACTGTAATCATGACCGCTAATCTTGCGGTTGCCCAATGCATATCGACTGTTGTTACCCTCTGGTTCAGTGGCCTGGACACATGAACGTTTCGTGAGTACCCCAACCCGAATGTCCCAGGTTGAATAGGAGTAGAAGAAAGTGAAGGGAGGGAATAATTCGGCGTTTCGCATACTATAGTCGATTGGGAATTGATATGCTTTGAGTGAACGACGTGAAATTTGATTCAGGCCAATTTGAGGGCTACGATTAAAGACTGTCTTGTTGGGGATTGGTGCGGCTTAAAGTCAATCCAGTTGGTAACAACTTGGCTGAGAATAAACTGTTCGCTAGTCAGTTCTGTCCCGTTAGGTTCATGTCAGGCCATCAACAGTTAACAACTCACCTGGTTCAAATGATGCATTGACTGAGAGCATGGAACCACCAGCAAAGCACCTATTTTCATTGCAAAGTTAACGACTGACGCATCTGTTCCTCCAAATCATACGGAGATAACATCGTATGGACCATGACGTTATCTTTACTTCCCCTAAAACGCTTCTTTCAGAAGTCTGTCTCCCAAACTCGTAGCAGGAAATCACTTCACTTATAGGATAAACGATGTTGCAATTCACATCATGTTAGGGACGTATTTATGTATGTGTCCTCTAGTATTCTGCAATATCAAACGTATGTGTCCAGAGCAGTTAGGCGGTATCTCTTCCAAAGTCGTTGGGTGATCTTTCCACTACTCACGCATGATATTCAGTCGTAGATCTTGGAATTTACTGGGTCTATTGCTACGGGTAAACTGCCTTAAATATCCTAAAGGAACTATTCAGTGAGACTTGATTTCATCCAGGAAAAGCGTCTCCTTCCGGCGATCCATCGATTTTAGAATGTTGCAGTCGGATGTGCACATTTCGGCTCTAGTGTTGTGGAGGCGGAAGCCAAATAGCAAATGTTGGATCCGCTTCAACCGACGGCAGATGCTCGTATTTCAAGTTTACTAGGAATATCAACTGGAAACTAGCGACAGTAGCCACTGGTTTCGGTATCCGACAAAAAATATCCGTTAATTTGGGCGTCAGAATTTCTACTCTAACTATCAAATTGTCTTATGTGAAACACATAATGACACATAACGTGACCATGTAGTACACACTGTCTTATGTTACACTGCTGGGAAGCTTTCCACACATTCCTACGGAATTTCCAATCCGTCCTGCGCTTAACTTCGCAAAACACTTGACCGTATGGAAGCGTTATCTGTGTTGTCTACCCTGTCAGTTTGGCTATATTTCGCCAGAAGTTTTAAAGCGTGTCTTTCCTTTAGTGTCTGCGTGCCATCGACAAATGTGCTGAACCAACGCGGAGTCATTGATATCGTAACCCCCCTAGCCATGCAATACTGGTATCCAGTGTCAGATAGAGCCAGATGATGTTGGGTGCTCGATATTATCGTTTTCTTCAGTGTTATAAGCCCCGGTTAACGCTATGATTACATCAGAATTGTTTTGTGAAAACAGACCCACCGACCGTGTCACTTGTGCACCGTCATCGACGTAACTGGCACACACAAGACTGTAAGCGCTTTTAGGCTTCCCCAAGCTGGCTTGCTGCTGTCATGCTATACAGATGTTATGTTATGCCTATCGCCCCACCCATTTTCGATAGGGCTTGCCACAGTGGGTTTGATACAATTTGTGTTGGTAGTGTGAGGAGGTATGGTAATTGTCAACTGAGATTTCGTTCGTCCAGCGAAGTCGATCTGAGCTGAAAAGCCGAGAAGCACCGTAGAGCGGTTTCATCTTTATTATTAATCATCAGCAGTGCGCTTCTCACGGAGCTCCGGGGAGATTCGGAAACGGAGAGAACTCTCGGTTAGTAGTTTGAACACTTGATCGCTCGGCCATGGGTGGCTTATCTGCAATGTGATTAGTTCAGACTTAGGATATACCACCATTCATGACCCAGTCACGGAAACCGCATCACGTGGTCATATGTGGACCGGATCCTACATAAAGTTAGCTAACCTGGTTTGCGGACTATTGAGAAAGTGCGCACAATTTAAGATTTCAATGCTTACTGATAGGGTATGGACGTTCGGGTTTACCATGGGCGGTACAATGGGGTCTTTGAAATGCGCCGACCAATGCGTTCATCCAAGAAAGACGGAGGTTTTCCGGGCGAACGGTGGCGCACAGCACTGTCCTTCGTCTGTTTAGACAACAGGCTCGCAGCGACCAGAGCGTTTAAACGATTGGCCTAACCGTTCATCGACGGTTACACACTGGATACTGCTCAACCAGCTTGGCGATCTGTTCCGCGTATGTTCCGTCAAGCCTTCGCCTTGTTTATATCATCGAGGTGTTGGTATCCCATTAACAACACCTTGACATACTTTGTTCGAATCGTTAGCGTATTTTAACTCCTTGTAACATAGGACTTTTGCAGTGAAACTTTCCTCAGGTTTTTCCGGTATGTGCACATTTTGGCGATACTTTCCTCGACCTCTAAGTCTCCGCAGTGGTTCAGTGACAATCAGAATCTGAGAAGCTTCTGTTCGTAACTGTCACTCAAATATTGTACCGTTAATGAAAAGTGATTTCGTTCGGTATTCTGCCATGGAGGCATTGGCGGCGTCGTCCAAACTTTGGCGTTGAACAGTAATTGCACTCAGCAGTTCCGTCTGCTTTGGATTTTACGGCACTGCACTACCGTGCTTGATAGCATAGTCTTTTAGAAACTTCTCCGGAATTGTGGACGTGGTCGGTAGCGATTTCTTCCGGTAACTTAAAGCCGTCCAACAGGTGGCGAAACGCTCAAACGCAACACTTGATGGAGCCCTCCCATAAAGTAAAACCTGAGACCGATTTGAATAAAAATAAGTAAAAACCCTCTCATACTCGGAACATAGGAACACATCCCGTAAGGTTGACTGCAATATTTGACCGCTGTTACCTAGGTTATTCGACAGGTTGAACCGGAGCTTGGAATGGTTTGACAAATTCTCATCGCTTTGATGAAAAATTCCATTCGCTATCACTAGTAAAACTATCGAACGTGAGACTTCGTGCATACAACTGCCAACTGACTTTCCTGGGAGCATGTGAAAGCGGAACAAATCAGACGTGCGCGAAACCTACTTCGTTTTCCAGACAAGATGCATCCGCCTATCAACGACGGTTCATCTTGTATGATATGAGAATTTATTGATTATTATTATTATTATCAGCCGAGTTGGACACATGTACTCAGGAGGGACAGAAAAGATTGTGTCTTGATTTCTTTGGGTCTGCCTTCTGGATAATGAGATGCTGAGGGACAACAAACAGTATAACTTCCTTTCATATTTACTTAGAACAACCCTTTGGTTTCATGGTGATTGCTCAACAGAAGTGGAGATGGTTCGTCGGCTATTTGATCATGCGTTTGAGGAAGATAGCGGATATCAAACTCTTAGTTCAATACTTGTGAGCTGCGATGTTTCATTCAAAGGAGTCGTTGATCCTCGGCTTCCCCGAATTAGTAGCAGCGCGAGGTCCGGATAATCCGAATTCCGAATCAGAGTGGAATATCGTCCGAAAGGGGATGAATTCCACTTTTCTTCAGCCGACATTCATACAGGCGCTTTTGCCTCCTGTGGAGCAATTTTCGTTTGCATTTTGATACGAACGTTGAGACAAGATTGTCTCAAAGCCCAAATAAGATGCCACGATAGACCCAAAAATAGCGCACGATTCACGAAATATAAAAAGTTTGTGCAGAAGTGATCACAATCTAAGCAGCATAGTAGGCATTTCTCTCCCGCAATCCAGAAGGAAACCTCATCTTGTCCCGTAGGCTTTCGTACAGAATCATAAATAGAAGAGAAGTTCTACAGTTGACATGATTAGCAGGATGAGTGAGCTGGCAGATGTATGACTTGATCAAAATTTTCAGGCCATGGACGTTCCAGAATTGGATGCATATATTTTCCTCTGACTCCAGCCTTCGAAATCGTACGACTGAGGAAACCAGATTTGGGGACCGTAAATTGGCACTTTCGAGTATTCAACCGTAAATACGAGTTGTTTATTCCTGTTTATTTCTTTTTTCTTATTTATTCTTCTGGATGAGAACCAGCTGCGCAACTACTATCCCACTGGGCTTTGCACCTACCAGATTTGCAAAGGCAAATTTTTTAACCTTTTCCACGCTACTGGAGCGATGCTAAGCCCATAGGTGAAATTTTGTTTGTAGGGACGGCTAACAAACGTCTCGAAATGCCCATGAAAGACCTGTGCGTTCAACTTGGGAAAACTGTCTACAAAATTTGCATTATCAACTACTCAGTCATCGGATAAGGGGACTTTTAACAACGATTTGCTTTTTCAGCCCACTTAGGTCACCGCATACTTCGACAGTGTCTTCCTTTTTCAAAACAGTGACCGGCGGGTGTGTGCATTAGGAACACTGCACGCACGTGACTAAAGCATCGTTCGCATAGTGGAGCCTGCGCTACCTCAGCCCTCGTGCGCCCTACAGCTGGAATGACAGCCCGGCACCAAAGGGGTGTCACAGCTGAACGAATGTTCATTTTTAATCGGAAAAATAAAAGTCTTGCAATAGAGATCTTATTCGGTATCCACGAAAGGGTTATTAAATCAAACAGTTCATCAGCGTAAAATAATATAAGCGCCTAACTCACCCTACTGATTTGTTTTCAGGAAGTGTTTTAAGCGAGAATTTACGGAGCATAGCTATTAGTATTTACGCTTAGCCTAAATCGCTATTTAATGGTACTGATGACTGTCCAGCCTACTTTTGACAACTGATTCTTAAAAGTTTCCAATCGTTTTCCCTCAGGTCCCTGCAAATGACATCGTGAACGTTTTGTGTGTGCATTAATTACAGTTTTAATGAAACAAATTTTAATGTGCCAGCTTTCTGAAATAGGTTATTCAGAAGAGAGACCACTTCCAAGTGATATAGACCAAGAAGTTTCAAGTTAGTCCCGGTTGGTAGATCTCGTCGAGAGGTGAATCTATCTCGCAAAAGCTCTCGGCCAAAAGCCAAATACATCTTTTGCCTTAACGGTCTGATCCAGGGAACGGTCGCACACAACAATGAATCAGATAGCTTTCTGCATTGATTCATACCGGCCTATGTATATCAAGCTAACGATCACTCAGTAAAAGTCTCTGTTGGCATTAGAAGAGAGAATACCTAACAGACCGAGAACTTTTTCCATTGATTATAATGCTAGGAATTCAGCAAACGAATTTTTTTGGAATGTCGCAAAACAAGGGTAATGTTCGTATTGTTTTCCCGGCAATCAAATGGCTTTGTACGACCTGTTAAAAGTAAGGATTAGTATACTCATCGTTTTAGTACTAATTTGATGTGAACGCAACATAAGCTTGGCTGTCTTTGGCAACTAGTTCCAAATTTATTGGGACACAGTGTAGATACAAAGAGTGTATGTAGACATGCTTTATCACACATGGAAGCGAAGTGGTTCAGTGGTTAGAGCGCTAATTTACTGACCGGAATGTCCGTGGTTCGAATCTGATCTCTGCCTCTCAGCTTCCCTGTCAAGGCTTGGACAACCTGGCAATATCCCCGCCCTCACGCTTCCTTCGGGTGGCATGGCAGCTAGGTACCAGAAATGTGTTACAGCTGAACGATTACTTTTTTGTTTTAGGCCCACACATGGGGCCGAAAAAGAGTTCGGCCGCAGCGCAAACAAAAACATACCCCATCAAACGTGTCTACATTGACAGAACGACGATTTATTTGCATTGAAAAACTGATTCACAGATTGCAGTAAACGATCATGCATTCTGATGCGATAATGGCTGTTCGAATGATGTACTCGTGCCAATCCGAATCGCCTTGTCCCAAGTACAGTCACAAGGCACACATACATCACTGTCATCTATCGCCCTCTGCTCTGTCAAAATGCACTTTATTACCAGAATACAGCCTCCCGTCATTCCCCATTTGAGCAGTAATTTTCTAACTACTTTGGTCAGCTGAAAGAACGATGGCGGGAAAATTTTTTGAATTTTCTTCTGCCACGAAAAGCTAACAAACACTCATTAGCACGCTGCCAGTATACATCACCTCAGTTTGTACTGAATTTCAAACAACGGTCCGTCGACCTAGCACTTTGAATATATCCAACTACGAGTTCCAGTCAACGGTATGAGTTAAGTACACTTGTGCGGTTTACTGTGAAGCTATCCTCTAAACACGCACTTTGTGTCACGCGATATTATGTTGATTAGCTGCTTGATTAGTGCTTCGCTAAAAGTGGAACGGAAACAAACAATCTGCAGATTTTCCTGGAGCAGAAATTTCCCTCAGCTATTTAGCATGGTCTTATTGCCTACATTCGTCAATGATATACAGGGATGGGTAAAAGTGCTCAACAGAGTGTATCACCTTCTAAACAGCTTTTCACACAGTCTCCATACGTCAGTCGACCTATTCATGGAACAAAGAACTTCTGCTCGAAACACTAGGCTATAAGTATAATATGCTGGTGGTTTGAACTTTTTAACCGATCACTGTTCGTTTTAAATGAAAGTGTTCCACTCTTTGAAGGCTTTGGACTACAGACAGGAGCAAAGGAATCGACCACTTGTTCATGAATTGTGAGGATTACGACCTTTAACACGTGGAATCTACTGAAGCACACCATAGTTATGCGGTCCTTGCGTACACGGTTCTCCCTCATTTGTTCTTGTGAATTGTGTTCATCGAGTCATAGGAGCCAAAGATCCCTCGCCGAAAGTATGTGGCGCACTAATACGCTGCATTTTCAAATCTGACCAGTTGCTTCATCAAACCTTACTTCAGAACCATTCCAAACTAAATCGCTGAGCTTTTTTCACGGGCGGTCTTCCTGACAATTTATCACACCCACCATCAACAATAAGCTTTGTTCGTCGTATGAGACATCAGACTGACAAGCCGTGATCCAGTCCCGTTTATAGTGAAATCTCTACCAGTTACTAGATACTGACTAGACTTGCCTACGGATGCTCTCGCAAAGACTTACAGGCAGTTGTCGTAGATCGCTTGATTATCAAGCAAAAATGTTGCATCCACATGTTCCAAAGTTCCGTGCGTAGTCAGAATCGAGTTGTACGGCTCCACAATCGCGGTGGAAATATGAGGTGCCGGATAGATAGCGAATTCTAATTTTGTCTTTTTTCCATAGTCTCTGCTCATGCGTTCCATAAGTAGCGATGTGAATCCGGAACCGCTACCACCGCCAAACGAGCGTGTGAAAATAAACCCCTGAAGTCCGGTACATGGCTCGACAAGTTTTCGTATGCGATCAAGGACCAACTCGATCATTTGTTTACCCACACCGTAGTGACCTCGGGCATAGTTGTTGGCCGCATCCTCTTTTCCGGAGATAAGCTGATCAGGATGAAAGAGCTTTTTGTAAGTTCCCCTCCTCACTTCATCTGCGTTTTACGAAGATCCAAAAGGGAGAGCTTTGCGAGAACATGAAGACAGAAATTTGATGTCACAAAAGTCAAAAACTCCTAAACTCTCGGTAACTTATTACTCCACAGCAACCCTACAAGGTATAGCGGTGGATAGGCTGAGAGTGTAGAGCAAATTGAACACATTATGGTATGACATGGCATGATTCAGCATACCATATGTGGTGTGGTGAGGCATAATATAGTGTAGAATAATGTGTTATAGTACAGTGCGATATAATATAGGTTAAAATAGTATAGTATGGTGTGACGTAGTTTAGTAGTGTAATAGAGTATAGTATGGTATTTTGTAGTATAGTATAATGTAGAGTAGTATAGTAAAGCAAAGTATAGTACAGTATAGTTTGTGTGGTATAGTGTAGTTGGATGTAGTGAAGTACAGTGCAGTATAGTATAGTCCAATAAGGCATAATGTGGCATAACTTAGTGCGGTCAGGTATATATAGTATATGTTTATATACGACTCACATTTAACATATCGGTGTGTCGGTTGAAAGAAACTCATAGATATAGTACTCTCACTCGGACTTACCAACAACTGTTGGTTCCAAGTCAGCAAATATGGCACGCGGAACGTATTTACCACCACCAGTCTCGCTGTAAAAGGTTTGCATAGCATCTTCATAATCTCTCCCTAGGTCACCGTACATTTCTCCACTTGGTTGAACACCATGTTCCAGGCAGAACAGTTCCCAACACGCATTCCCAATTTGAACGCCTGCCTGTCCCACATGTATGGAGACACACTCACGCTAAGCGGGTGGGTGAACCAGGAAGAAACGAGAATAACATAGATACATCATTAGAGAGTGCGGCGTCCACCTTTTGTCTTGGGAAGTAGTTTAAAAGTAGTTGGCTTCAAAATGCAAACTAGGTGGTTTACCTGAAGATATTTCGGAAATTCCCGGTTTTCAGTGAGTCACTATCAGTTTGGTTATACTTCACTCGGAATCTACTGAGGCCCTCAGCTCCAATGGACGCCGACCAGACAGTCCTGAATCAAAGTCAGAGAGCGTCAGATAGCGTTGGATCAATGTTAGGCAAAGCTCCCTCAATATGTAGCGCGAGACAACCCTGAATCGAAGCCAGACAGTGCGAGACAACGTTGAACCAAGATCAGACAGTTCTCCTCAATAGAAAAGCATGAGGTTACTGTAATTTTGCGCTTGTACTCGCTTGTTCGCAATAGAGCTGCTGTGTTCCTTGTCGGTAAGTTTTTTCCGGCACCAGCAGTCACATAGAACGTGTTGGCGACGCAGCCAGATATAATAGGTAATATGAACAGATTTGAGAAATTTCAGCCAATACCCCCTCCTATAGGGGAAGCCATTCCATGCTGAAAGACCAAGAGGCACCATACAGCTGTTTCATCCTTATTGCGAATCATTAGCAAGAAGCTTTGAACCCGCGCTTGTACTGTGAACAATCAACCATTCGGCCGCTGGCGGTTCACTGCTATTAAGATACTTTCGATTATCTGGAGAGTTTTCATCCGGCTGAATCCGCCAGATTTACTCAAAAAGTGACAGCAGATGACTAGCAGAATGAACTCGGTCCTCTGATCCTACGGGGTAAGGAGAGACCTAGGGAATTTCAACGTGAATCTCGAGAGGTAACCACAAGAGTGAACTCAGAACCGATGCGATGTCTTTCCAGGGTGACTTCATTCTACATACTGAATACTTCCGAGGATATGATATGGATTCTAAACCAGCATTACAGTCGCATTTCAAGCGACTAATTCTCTGGTTGGAAAATCAGACTCTGTAGACGATAAAGCAATGACTACGAAGCTTGTGGAATTGGCCACAACCTGAAGGTCCCCGCAAACTTCATCTTTCGTGCAATCAGCGGAATTTAAGCGTCCTTCAGCTTTTACTGGCCAGGTATTTTCGTTGTTGCCGTAGCAACAAGGAGCGCTTCATAGACGAAGTTCAAAAAACCAGACAACAGACAATGCTAGGTTGGTCACATGGTGCAGACATGTTAGCTGTCTGACAAACCGTACTGACAAGATGACAGGACTCGGCTGTTATTTCGTTTTACCGCGTCCAGCGGCTTTATTCTACTGGCTGTTACTCATCCACTCACAAGCAAGCCCTAAGTACAGAATTAAGTCCTTCAGCTGCTCCGCCCTCTCCGAAAAAACAAATATATTCACACTGATTCAGAGGGGATGGTGAAAAGCCGATGGTTTTATTGCTGGGCTTTTGACACGAAAGCTCCGCCAGGCTCGGGGTCGACCGGGTTTTCAGGCAGACAAAAAACCAGTCATTGACTTGATCGGTGCTGAAGGTTGTACGGAAGTTAGCGAAATACACACATTTGCAAATAAATTTGATTTTGCGAGAGACTCATCTGGAACCCAGCTGATTCGTTCATTTCTGATGCTTTCAGGCAACTGAGTATGCTACACCAGGCCGCCTCATGTTTCAGTTGCTACGGTATTCCGAATACCGTGGTACATGTATATTCGTAGTGCACTACTCATAAGGTCACTGACAATTATTCGGGAACTTCTTCAGTTGTTATTTGTCGGTTGGTATAGATGAATGACACTTATGAAGGATGAGGTTGAATCCTCCTTGCTTTTCCCGTTTAAATTTTAAACCATTTCACTCATAACCTTACGCTTCCACATCTCAGCTCTTCTGACCACTCGCCACTCGCTTGCCAGTTCTACACTACGAGGATTGGCATTTTTCACCGCCTCGGCCACCAGTCGCTGTGGTGTGAAACTCAGTGCCCGTCTCGAAAATTCCACGTATTTCAAATGTACTCTGTCCATGGTATATGGCACGCATCACATTGTCACCTTTGACTGTAGGCAGGGGTTCCTGGTCTATGTATGCACGACTTACGCACACCGATCCTGATGCGTACCTAACTCATCGGCTGTTTCAATTGCGTAAAGACTCACACATTCATTCCACTTTATTTCGTCTCAACATTCCTGAGTCCGATCAGTCTGTTTTGGGTCATTTTGCTGCCGCAATACCGACGTTACAGTTTTTTCTCTCTTAAATGATATTCTAATGGTAACTATATTCAACTCAGACACCGGATGACTGCTTTTCCGACCCAATCCTTTTGGGTCTTGTTGTTGAGGTCAATAAATACCCATCGCAATTGCCACCTACTTTCTTGAAGTCACCTTTTCAACTCAAGTTTTGCTGATGTTCAGCGGGCAAAAGGCTCTTACTCATCCAACCATCACTGCCTTCGGATGTGCTTATCAGTGGTTAGAGGCAGCACCAATTTTTTCTGTTTTTTTTTTGGTGAACAGTACTTTGATTTTCTACGCCTCTTGCGGTGAACAGTATTTGATTTTCTACGCCTCTTGCGCGTCATGCAGTCTAGGAGAGACAGAATACCTGACGTAGATTCCAACTCTACATGGAAGTTAGCACTGAAACCCAAAATCTTAAGATTTCAAAAGAATTCGTCAAATTTTCGGGCTTGATCACAACAACCGTACCACCTACGCCACGCTAGAATCCCTCGGTGGATGCTGAAATCCGGCTTAAATTGTCTACTCTAAGTGTTCCCGATATATATTAGCTAAATTCGGTAATGGTAGAGAGCTCATTGCCAAATACTGGTCCTGGGAACACGAAACCAAGTGGCCGAGGTCTGAGCATACTTCAGTGCCTCCAGTTAACTTATCGACAAAGAACGGAGATCGTTGCAGCAAAGTTATACCCGTCAATATCGCGAATATCTTGCTACCAGACCTCTCTGAAACGATGACTTTTTGTACGGTTCCGAACATTTCCTTACTGATTGCAAATATTTAGATTGTCTTTCGTTATCCTTTGTTGCTGTCTTTAATAATGGTCCGTCACCTTAAACAGGATGCCGTTTGGTTGATAGAGTTTCTTCAAAAGGTTTGAAACATATTACCGTTAAATCTAGCCTCAGTTCACTCAAACCGTTATGGCTTTAACAGCTGACTTACTCCGATATCGGGCGGTAAAACACTATGTGTAGACTCTATAAATTGTTGGTGGGTCTTCATCGTTTCATCTGGGTCCAGTGAACTGAGTGAGCTAAGAACTCTCTGCCCCTCTAGGCCATCAAGTATATTATTATCATTATTATTACCTTTATTATTATTATAGGTGATAGTGGTAGTATGCAGAACGAGAGCTGCTCTTCTGCTACTTCTTGTGTGAAGATTAGCGATGAGTTTTATTAACTTTGTGGAGTTTTCTTGCATTTCCGCCCACACATCGTTCAGACATCCATGCCTTCTGGAGGATCACTTGGTCCTCCTACACATTCCAATTTGAGCCCTTAAATCGCTCATTACGTCCAAAAACGTCTCCGACGCTTCATCCTCAGAAACTGTTTCCACAAACTGCAATGTGTAAACTCCATTCCAATGTTCCATTTTATTGTATATTTACCCTGTATTCTAATCACGACTCTCATTGGAGTGCCTCTGCCTTGAACTATACGAATAACAGACTTTCTACTCATTTCCCAATGCTCCATACTCTGTTCGCCATATGAGCGGGTTATATGACGGTCCCTCCTCAGGCAAACACTGTTGGCATCAGGTGCATTGTTATATTTAACTCCCTGGAATCGGAAAAGTAAGTGTGAAATCGAATGATATTCGGATACCTATGAATAAGTCTACTTACACGCATCGATTAAATATTTTCCCTTTAATTTACCTTCAATTTCACTGAATCATATAGTTTTCTTCTGTCAACATACCTAAGCTTTCAGTGATAAGGAGAGGACGCTCTAAAACCAGCTATTCAAGAAAACGGAAAGTAGCATATCACCCTCAAGCAGGGCACTTCGGAACTGCAATCAGTCGCTTCACGGAAAACTTTAAGAAATTTTGTGTAGTCTAGAAAGCTTGCGGAAGAAAATTCGAGGGCCGCCGTCCTCCGTAACTGTTAGGGGAAGATTTGTGCGAGAATTCAGTACCGCCCACAGGATGTGTTTAATACGACAGTTAAAGCAGCATAGAGTACGTCGTCCCCTCAGCCACAATTGAACAAACACCGACTGAATGTATTTCATCACCCAGTAGCACAACGCTATCAATCCAGCCCCACGGTAACTGGACATGAGGAGTGTCACACATTGCATTCACTTGTTTATGTCCAGCTAGGTAATGCTGCTTGGTAGTGAGCCCTTTGGTTTTCCAACCGCACTCCCAGGATCAACTATGTAGTTGGCTCTGGGAGGCATCAGCTGAACTCAAGACTAGATGTGCCACCTGCAGCAGTGCATGCGGTAACATAGTTGATAGAACACTATTTCGGTGAGGAGGCGATCACGGGTTCTAGTCGCGCCGAAGGACTGTCGTTGCGTTTGTATTGTGTTTTTACTTGGATCCATATTTGAAACTGTGTAATTATTGAATTAGTTTGGCGAGAAACGAATCCAGTTAACTTGGTCACCCTAGAAAGACTAAAAATTATGGAGAGTAAGATGCAGATGGGATGGTAAATCAAAGGATTCTTAAAATAGAAGAACTCTAGGGGTGTAACTGAGCTCATCTATGCCAAAGTTAGCAGCTTTTCGCTTATTCCAGCTCCGTTTATCTTATGCCTTTTACTAAGTAACTGCTGTCTAGTTTAGGCCTCAGCAATATTATGGAGAACAATTGAATCGAATGACGTTGGATTTTCTCCCTCGCATCCACCCAAAAATCATCATCACATTTACGGCAAAGTTGCGTGCGAAGAGAACAAATACGCGATCTCGCAAAACAGACAGTTGGGCTACC